AAATAATCAACATTAATGCATTGGTAAGGAAATTTTTGTCTTTTATTTTTTGTAATTATCTTGTGTTGGATGGAAGACAACTCGATCTAGCTCTCCCATTCTTACAGTCATCCCATTTGCCTATATTAGGATTTAAATTATAATCTCTTATTTACTAGAAGAAAAACCATTTAAGTGAGAAATTTTTATCTAAAAAAATCAAACTCTAATTAATAAGTGAAAGGGAAAGCAATGTTTTCTAACTAAGTCATTAAATAGAGGTGGTTTAGAGGTGGTTTAATCTAATTGTCCTACTTTTCATTTTAAAAAGGTTTAAGTACCATTTTAGTCCCTCAACTTTTCACTTTGATATTAAAATTGTCCCTCAACTTTAAATAATATCAAAATTATCCTTAAACTTTCATTTTTGGTACCAAAATGGTCCTTCCGTCAGTTAAATGACAGGTGGAACGTTAAGATACCACAAAATCATTGACTTTTTTAAATTTTAATTACGTGTAAATCTAACAAAGAAAATTTTTTATACACGTGGCATATTTTTTACACATCATATTATCACCTTTTTTACTTTTCCTTTTAATGGGGCCCATGTAACAATTTTTTAACTTTTCTTATTCTTTCTCTCCTCTCTTTTCTGTTCTTCTTCCTCTCCAGATCTGGGTTTGATCAAAACCCAGATTTGCTCTCCTTTCTCTTTCTTCTTTAGAATCTTCCAGTCTTTGCTTTCGTCTTCCCCAGATCTCACCTTTTTGTGCCCGGTAGCCCTTGGGCTTGCCGGATTTTTGATGCTTGAGCCGCCGGGATCTCCGGTTGCTCAAGCATGATGGAGCCGATTTCGTGCTCCCAGTTCCGATGACCCTTCTGGTGGTCTTTTTTTCTTGTTTTTTTTTCTGTTTTATCTGGTTGTTTTGCTTGTTTGTTATCAGATCCGGTGGCTACCAGCCATTACACAGATCTCCAAAGGTGGTCGTCGGATTCCCAAATCTGGTGGCCATGGAGCCTCTCATGGGAGATGGTCACCGCCTGATGGGATCTCCCCGCCCTGGTGTCCTTGTTTCAAGAATCGCTGTGGTTTTGCTACGACGAATTTGTCATGAGCGGTGAATTTGAAGATCGACTCCGAGACGAACCTTCCTTCTTCGACAGCTTCCACTTCTCGTTGAAATAGAAGTTCGGCTGTGTGGTCGCAGTTGTAGCCAGCGCGGTAGCCATGGAATTTATTCTCAGGGTAAAAAATGGAAAACAGACTCGAAGCAAATAGAAAAAAACCTGAACAGAACAGAACAGAACAGAGGGGTATTGAGTTGTTGCGCTGAATTCACTGAAGAAGCTGGAGAGTGAGGGTGGGTTTGGGGTAATATTTGATTTAATTTTGCAGGAGTAGTAGTAGGTTTAGGGTTTTGAATTTGAAAAGGAAATGAAAAGAGAAACGAAGATAACTTGTGATTTTTGGGGAACTTGATTGAAACTGGAAAAAGAGAGAACAAAATTTTCATGTAGGCCCCACTAAAAAAAGAAACTGAGAAGATGACAATTTGACGTGTAAAAAAATGTCATGGTGTAAAAAATGTCGTTGCTGGATTTACACGTCATTAAAAATAAAAAAAAAGCCGGTGATTTTGTGGCATTTTAACGAGCCTGGCATTTAATTGACGGAAGGACCATTTTGGTACCAAAAATGAAAGTTCAAGGATAATTTTGATATTTTCTAAAGTTGAGGGACTAAAATGGTACTTAAACCTTTTTAAAAAATTAAGGTTAAATGCTTAATTTGGTCCCTCAACTTTAAGAAATAAACATTTTTGGTCCCTTAACAATTTTTTGCACTTTTTTGATCCCTCAACTTCATGAAATACACTCCGTTAGTCCTTCTGTTAATTTGGGCCGTTAACTTTGCTTATGTGGCATTTTTTATATTTTTTTTGATGATGTGGAGAGTAAAGTGATGATATGGACAAATATTTTGACATTTCATATTACCCTCGTGCCAAATCATATTACCATGTGTTAAATTCATTCAAATGGGTCCCACTTTATTAATAAAGAAAGATATCTTTTGATGACATGGTAAATTAAGTGATATTTTTTTATATTTTTTAATAATATAACAAATTAAAT